GATAAGAAGAACGATATTTTTTCCATTCGCTATCTTTTCGTCGACTTCACGCGGTATCAAGTTGAGATTCAATCGAAAATCGATTCTCACGCGAATACTTATCGAAGATACGCTTTGTGTGTCGAACCTACCTCTCCCTCCTCCTTGCAGTCGCAGGTTAATCTGCCGTAGTGGTCACAGGAGCAGGGCGGATAATCGCACCTGCTGGTGGAGTTGGTCAGGACGCCCTTGAGTAAGCTGCTCCAAAAGAGTCCCAAGATCGCGCTGCCTAACACATATCTCGTTGCTCCCATTTTGCTCCTCTCGCTCGCTCCTTCTTCCCCTCCCCTCTCTCCTTCTGCCATGCGCTCAAAGAGTTCCCTCTTCTTCTTCACGCCACTTCTTCTTTATTACCGGCTGTTTTATACCAAGCCGACGTCAGGCAATTCCACGTCGAGCCGACCGTTAGGTCGCCCCGACATGTCTGTGCTTTAAATCTACGCCGTCGAATCCGACGCTTTCAATTTTCGCCTTAGCTTAACGCGTGCGATTAAATACTGATTGGATCGTACACGCGATTAATCCCGTTTGCACTACGAGAAACTATCTTACTCATAGTACATGACACATGTCACGCAACATCACGAGATTTAATTATAATCTCGCGTCCCATCTCTCGATAAATTCATGCTTTTCGATGACGATCCAAGTATAAGTATCTTTCAAGCTCATTCGAACCACCGACTCGGAGAATCTTCTACTATGATATTCGTCTCGATGCTTCGCTTCCTCGTTGAGACGTTGCGATCCAGTTTTGTCGGTGACAGTGTGCAACGTCCGCGAACATTGCATCGTCTTATCACCAGAGGTTCTTCGTCTCTTCGATTTTATTCCTCTGGAAGCGATAGTCCATCTCTGTAAGGATAGAGAAATTAAAAACCTTGCACTTTTCATTCTTATCTATTTTTTCCCGTTCTAATATTATAATACATTTTACTTCTTTTGTTTAAAATTTTTTTGAATAGATTAATTAAGTCGTATACTTGATCGACAACTTAAACTTTCGCGGATGATGATTTTTCTATTTAACCGTTTCTTTTATCATATCCTATTTACGATTGTATTAAGAATCATTATAAGAGGATTTTTCTTTTATTCAATTCGTCTTGAATGTTTTATTGTGGAAATTATTACTAGATTTTTTCGAGAAGAGATAGGCGATATCGAACGGTAACGTTTTCGTTTCCCCATTCAAAGTAATAGTACGTTGCGTTATCATATTCGATCATATATATAGAAATGGATGAACTGTTGAAAAGTGCCATACGATACCGCTGCATCAAAACGACAGCGTCGCAATATCCGATGATGATAATCCGTGATCTGCCACTCGACTACTCGCCCACTGTATATCGTTGCGTGACTAATCGTGCCTACATTCCTGCGTTATCAGAATACTCTCGCTCGACATGACGTGGTTCTGTTTATCGTGCAAATATGTTGACTGCCGTTACTGTAAACTTTTCGCGTTAACGTTCTGCGAACGTGATTCTCGATGTTATTTATGATAATTTTGCGATGCAACGAAAAATTATCTTATTCGTCGGCTCTTTAATATTAAATTTAGCAAATTAAAAAGAAATGAAGTTAAAATTGTGTTTTTAAAAAGAGAAATGGCGAGTAATAAACAATTTAAAACTGATGTAATTTTTTGAAATGTGTTGGAATATAATAAAGAATATTTGTGCAGAATAACTGTTGAAAAAAATATGAAAACGTAATTTACATTAATTTCAAGAATTAATCATAAATTTAATCATTAATTAATCATTAATTTTGATTTGATTATTACATTGGGATGATGATAAAAATGCAACATTACTTCGTCTCGAAAAGTTAAATATAATCTGAAAATGTAAAAGTATATTTGTCTATATTTGTTATAACATAGGTAACTATTTTTATCGAAGTTATCGAATGTTATAGATATAGTCAATGTATTACACTGCAACGATAATAAACATAACATTATTTCATCTTAAAGAGTTAAATATAATCTGAAAATACGGAAGTACCTATATTTATAACATAGGTAACTATTGCCATCGAATGCCATAGATAGTCAACGAAATGTATCTTTGATATTTTCATTTCTCGGTGAAATAAAGTTTGATCTATTCTAGCAATAATAAAAAAATGAAACGGCATGAAGTGGAAGCGACCGGAATCGATAAAATGAAAAGAGCGTTGTGAATGAAAAACGGTCTCACTCAAAGGATTCGAGAAGAATTTCCTTTTATGGTCGAGTCTTTCGAAATTTCTTCCGGTCCGATTTTCTACCTCTCGACTTCTCACTCTACATTTAATAGGAACGAAGAGATACCTCGCTATTAACGCGATGCTTTTACTAAGCTAATTGTTCATTGCAATAATTAGGATAATTATTATAAAAAATTTACCTTAATATGAAGCTTGGTAAAAATATAAATTAGAAGTTTCAAGCTTTTGAGTTTTACATCAATTAAATATTCTTATTAATTTATGAATAATATATCTCAAATCAAATCAATCAAATGTTAAAGAATAATAGATATATAAAATTTATTAATATATTTGTAAAGTGAATGTTTACATTCTTTATAAGAATATTTACATTAATCTTTTTAGTTTTGCCACGTTTATGAGATTAATTCTCGCTTCATTATTCACCCTCGTTATCGTTCACTTTCGATAACAGAGATAAATAATATCGTGTGAGAAAATTCCATACATCGTTGCATCGATCCATAGATCATTTTCAATTAACGAATATTTATTGTTTCTCGGCGTAATGATCGAAAGAGAGACACAAAGAGAGAGGGAGAGAGATAAAAAGCAGGTGCGCGGCGATCGTTCGTGCACGATTAATTGACCGGTAACGAAACACACTGGGCGTCGGTTTTGCGGTAGCTATAACGAACAAGCGAAGCAGGACGGAGAAATAGAACCAAAGAATACACATGCTGAAAAAAAAAAAAAAAAATAGCAAACGCCAAAATGGGACTCCGATAACGAAATTGATACACTCTGGACGAACGGAGACGAAGACGTAAACCACAAATTATTCCAACTGACGATAGAATGGATCCCACTCTGTGCGGTACAACGATTAAACGTTTCGACTTGTCTGATTTACGCCTTGCTAATGGATGTTCATATATATTCGAGTCTGAAATTCGAGATCGGACTATCGGAAAAGCCCGCATATTTGTTATTTCAGGAACATACGGTCGAATGAAACAGATAACGCTATTCCGTCGGTCTCTCTTGCCTCTTCGACACACGACACGATAAGTAAGGAACGGAGTGAGATATGTGTAGGAGTAAATCGTTTTCGATTACGTGACTCTTCCTCTCATTCGTAATACTATTGCACGTCGATTCACCGGCAACGGATATATATTACATATATATATACACACACACACACACACACACGCGCGCGCGCGCGCGCACACACACACACACGTGTGTGTGTGTGTGTGTGTGTGTGTGTGTGTGTGTGTGCGCGTGGCATCGTCAACTTCTCGCCCCATTCGGTTGGGCGCGACTCCACTGGAATATCGTATGCGATTTCTCACGGCTGCATGCAATTTGAGGGAGGAGAGAAAGAGAAAAGGCGATGATAATCTTTTGCAAGCAGTCCACCATTCAACCCCCGTTTCAAGACATTCGCTTTTATTCCTTCGGCAACGTCTTATCTTTCCATCCACTTTATCAGCGCGACTTGTAAGAATTGTCCGCACCCTCCCGGGAAAGCATTCGCAGACGATAACGATAAACGAGGCCGGATCGGAGGCTGAAATAGTGAAGGAGAACATCGGGGATTCATCCCTCACAGTAACTCAGGAAGAGCTTGGAGGGAAATAATTTTTTCGTATTCAGGGATTAAACTGGGATTTCAGTATTCACTTGATCGCGAGACAAGGGTTAATCGATGATTTGACAAAGGTATCCCCGCGTTTCATCCCCATGTTCTCGATATATACATAAATAAATATTGAGAAGAGAATATTTAATTTTCTTTTAATGAAAAATTATTTTGTATATATTTGTAATTTTCTTTGTCCCTTTGTCTTTCTATCTTTCTCTCTCTTCCTTCAGAATATGTTTATATTATAAATTGCACAATTTTTTATATACATGACACGGTTTGTTAAATAGTGAATTTGTGTTAAATAGATGAAAAGTTTATATATTATTCAATAGTAGAATATTTGTCTCATAACGAGGAAATAGTTTCATCGAGTTCCAAGCTGGTCGTGACCCGTTTCAATTATTTACATATTAAAATGATGCGGTTTGAATAAAGTCGGCCATCATTAGAGGCACATGACGTTGACGAATTAATGCGGTATTATAAGAGAGGTAGGAGGAATAGCGATGGGCTATGTACATTGATTATTGATAAGCTCTCCCCCGGTGTCGTATTTAGCTAATTCGAAGCGTTCGAATATATTTCGCTCGTTTGGCGTAGCCGCGTTTTAGTCGCAATTTCGCTGTGGAACATGATTGCATTTTGAAGTTTTATCGAAACTTCGAGATCACCGACCCACTTCATTGCACTTCCAGCGAGTGACGAGCCCATTTAGCGCGATTTTTTATCCGTAATCGGAAATAGAATAGTACAGTGGAAAAATGCCAAATGATTGTACATTTTATTTCTTCATTAATCTTTCGCTCGTAATAATTGTGTGTGTATTTTTTTGAAAAACGGCAGACATAATATCGCTAATTTTTTAAAGATTAAAATTGTTATGTTGTATTATAATTTTTCTGGCTCATTAACGTTTATTTATAATAATTTCAAATAGTTTGAAATAGTTTCGCAATATAAATATTATCAATGATATTTATTAGTTTGAAGATAGTTTCATCTAGCAACAGATGTGAATTATCCGATGATTTTTTTCAGTTAAGTTATTTACTAATGCAGAGTCCACTGCATCGCTATTTTCGAATGCAGTTGGGGATCTCGTGCCTCGTGTTAGCCAAACATTTCCAATGACGAGCCGAACCCGCCTGGATCGAACTGTCGGTTTTGCGCGTGAAAAATAAAATCACGTGTGTCAAGCGATACGGTGTGCTGTAACGGTCCGATGATTCTGTTTGAATAGAATGCAGGTTTGTACAGAGTCGCGTCTACCATGTCTCTCGCGCGCACTTGCTCATTTCCATGTTTGTTACGATAACGAATGGCGGTGCTTTCGAATACGAATGAAAAATATTGATTTTGTTCGTTATCGATATCACGTTTTTAATGCGACGTATGACTGATATCGGCATGGAGTTGATGATAACCTACATTACGGAGTACATATGCTCGACCGCCTTTTTTAAACGACACATTTTTCTTCATCTTTCTCCATCCTCTTCCTTTGAATAATTTCGTCGCATAATGAAGATTTTATGCTTGCCGATCTGGAAGATAAATTTTTGTTTGACAAACGACCGTACCGATTTCACGTTGATTATAAAAATTTCAGAATGCTGTGCATCAAAGGAAAATTATTGAGCGAATAATTTAAATTATGTAATTTTCTATCTTTATTTTATATCGTATATCCGAGGAAAGTGACAGTCACGATAAAATTATCGAAGATATCGTCATTTCTTTTTTTTCTTTCGATTATTAAATGATGTAAACACAGTTATCGCTAGAAGTCAAAGAGCTTTTAATCAATTGCATGTCTGTAAGTAATATCTTTTTTCTCCTTTGATCGCACGATATCTTTTAATCACGATATAGGCAAGTGGTTCTTAGTAGTTAATATTTTCCGTTGGGGATGCAATATATCTCGAGGTCTCTTAATTTAATCCAGGTACATAATTTGCACCGCTGCGGCCCTGTTCCTCGTAACTCAAGTAACGTTATGCATGCAACGTAGGAAGCAACGCCAGGCGGAATGTTTAGTCTCGCGGCATTGTTTTCAATTTCAAGATAACAGTAGGCGAGAAGGGCAAAGCCCAGCCGAGGGTACTCCAACATTGTTATATCACGAACTCTCAGAGAGAGAGAGAGAGAGAGAGAGAGAGAGAGAGAGAGAGGGGGGGGGGGAACACGAGAATAAATTTCTTCTTTCCGGAAACTCACGATGCAGATTTGCCTCAAACATGGAATGTTCAAAATTCATTACGGTCTTCAAGAAAAATGTTCGTAACGCGCGTTTCTCACGATCGAGTCAATATTTTACTTGTCGCACGGGACGAGTTTGACGTATAGGAAGTTAATGGAAAATCTTTCCTTCAAAAGGAAAAGAGAAAGAGAAATATTTACGAGCTCTCTGCAAAGTCCGTAAATATATTCTACGTACATGTCGATGTTTCTGAAATTCAGGCAATCAACACATTTGATGTGCCTGTACGACAAGTCGACCTTATTCGCGTAACGCGACAATTAAGTCTTCTGGATGGTGACGGCGGCGATTCTTTCCTTGAGGGGAGAACAGGGCAGGGTTAGAGAATGGTGAGCAATTAATCGACCCTACAGCTAGCGCAGTTATAGGAGATAGCGCGCCCACACTATGCCACGTGGGAAATCAAGTATTATACAATCTCGCGATGATCCATTCGAGCGAGCCTCTCTCGAGCATGCGATCGTACGGAATAAATTCAGCCGTCGCGAGGCTAGGCGGAATTTCTTGTCTCGTCTCATCTCGTCGCGCGACGACGACGTTGGTGGCCGTCGCGTTGTGGACGGTCGATCGACTTTACGGTTCAATGCCGCGGTCGACCCGCGCTTTATTTTACGACCGACAGCCCGAGCGTGTTATTTTATGCGGTCTCGGCGGAAAGGCTCCATGTATTCCGATGCGTGATGCAGCTGCCGCGTGACGCTGTCGTGTTATGCAACGATTGCGCCGCGAGAGAATACGTTCGCGTGCCACGTTGACGAGTCTTTCATATAAGATACATCGAGGGGAAAAATATAAATTTTTCTGTATTTAAGAAATATGCTTATTCCCTTTTGCATTTAAAGAAAAAAAAAAAAAATTCGTTGCTCATTTGACGCGTAATATTATATTAATTGGTATTGCTAGGTGATCATGTATTTCTAAGCTCCTTTCTTATATCATATATATATATATAAAGAGATGTAAATTAAAAATTATATTTTCTTCACTCGCGCGAGCACTACGCTCACATTGACACCAGAACACTCCTCCGTTAAGTCGACCATCCGGTCCTTTACAGATGAGAGAACACTTACAACGAGATGTAACACGATTGAGGCAGAAACGAGCGCGGCTCTTAAGTTAATCCCGTATATACGAGCGAACTTCGCGACGCGTCGTCGTCGACGCGCGAACAGCGACTGGCCGCCTTTCGAATTCGCGGCTGGTTTGCACCTCGGCGACGGTTATCGCGCGACACGAGTATCCTCTCTCTCTCTGCTTCCCTTCTCCTACGCCGCCCATCTCTTCCCTCCAGAGTAAAATGCATCCCCACCGAGCTCGGCAAACTTCCCTCTCTCGACCAGCACTCAGTACGTCCTCTGCTCCGTTGCAGCGCATCTCGTGCTCCTGTTCTCGCTTTGCCTCTTTTTATGAAAAAAGCCTAAAGCTTTTTTACAAGTACCTTCAATCTCCGAATTAATACAAATCTCTTCTTATATAAATAAATTCTCTATCGATATTTAAAAAATTATAATTATTCTCGTATTCTGTTTGCGCGTCTCACAGACATTTTCTTTTAAAGATTTATCTCTTATTTATTCGTTCGATGAAAAGTTTTGCCATTATTAACTTCTTATATTTTCTATCGGATCAATATTTTCTTTTTTTTTTTCTTTCTTTCATGTTTCTTCGGATATTATTTTACTTATTATATGCTTCTGACTTCTTAAATTGAGTCTACTTCTTTTTTCTGTGAAAAATGAGAGCGGCAGATTTATATTCTTGATATAGTCAAGCTTTTTCAACATGTATCAATTTTTGTGAATATTGAGCAATAATATTTATTATCACTTCTATCGCAGTTGTCACCAAAATAATTTTTAAATTAATTAATTTAAAAATTTATAAACATTGTTTTACTTGAATTAACTTTTTTTCTTATCTTATTAGGTATCTTTCGTATGATTCTTTTCAATTCTTTCTCCTTTTTACGATCGCAAATCCTTATCAGTCACAACTGATAAAACACGACTGATATGAGACTGTTAAAACTCGGTGCTTTGGTTACTACGATATTATCTTTCTTTGGTAATAGCGAAGAATTTATTTTTAGTACCAGAGTCTTTGTGGCAAGAAAACGTAATATTTTAGCCATATCGTTACCGAGATTTCTCATTATAAATAAATATTTTTTTTATTTTACAAGAAGTTTTGTATTTTTATGTCTCTCGAAAGTTTTTTATTCTTGGATTATTTTGTATGTAAGTTCTATAATATACAATATTAACAGATTGCACTTTTTATATTTGTCATTACTATCAGAAATCGGAAAGGCGAGATATTTAAATCAAGTCGGAAACGAAGTTTGAGAAGCTAATAACTGCGTTGAGTTATCCGAGTTGACAACCACCCATGATAAATTGCCTCTGATAAAAGCGTACCGCTATTTCGTATTTTCATGTCCATTTCCTCTTGTATTTCGTAAATCTTTAATAATGTTTAAAGATTCATTGGACCCAAAAGCAATGCGATTAGCGGATGAATTTTTAACAATGTTGTAGATTTGAAATTCTGATTCTATTGTTAATTAACCTATAAATTACGATCGTTTCTGTATTATTTCGTATATCGAGAAAACGATTGCGGATTGTCATACAGATTGGGATACAAAGCTTGCAATGGAAATAATAACGAGATTGTGAAACGTTTCTTTCCTCTTATTTCGAAAATTGATTTCGCCATTTACTTTTCTGACAAGATGTCACAGGTGACATCGCGACATTCTAAAATCCGTACGACGGCCTTCAACGGATGTTACTACTCCCGTTGCATCGCGATATTTTGACAACCATGGATTTTCGGGACATTGGATTTCCGTCCTATACATTGATCCGCTTCGAAAATCTCGTGGGATTTACGGAAGAAAATACAGACAGAGAGCATACGACGCACCATTCATTTCCGTAATTGTACAACGTTTCGTAACTCTGTAACGATGCTTTTTTACGATCGATTTTTATGTCGCGAGAATATTGTTCGGAGTGCGACCGTTTTATTCTGTAGCGTAAAAATATTTCATGATAAATGCGGTTACTGTCGTGCATGTTTATTTTAATATTTAGATTTACCTTTTTCCTATTTTTCTCCATCGTATTATGTTCCTCGCACACCATTAAACACACCATTAAACATCGTGCACATTGATAAACGATAAGCGATGAGCTTCGAATTTTAAAGCGAATGTGGAAATTTATTTACAAAATATAATTCGGACGCGAGTATCTCAACTAACGCGATGACAAAAATGATAACGTTTGTAATTTAAAGGTTTTTTTTTTGGAATATAATTGAGAAAAATATTAACACAATTTCTAAAAATATAGATTTTGTTTCGAGATTACATGTCTGCCGGAGTAACCATAGAAATTCTATAATTAACAATTATCACTATCCAATAATATGGATGATCGATCCTGCTATGAACTTTGGTTTCACGCAACACTACCGTTATCGGTGATATATACAATTTCATTGAATAACATGCATTTGTGAATTTTATTTAATAGCTAGCGTGCTTACTCATTGTGCCTCTCCATTCATCGCTCGCAAGTCATCGCTTATCGCTCCCCGATGTGCACGCAGTCTTACATTACACTTGTACCCAGTTTCGTCTCCGTGTCGCGGAGCATGTCGCGACATAATGTTGCGTTAAAACCTCGGTTCGAAATCTCACGCAAAGCATCGTGCGGGTCAACTTTTCATCTTCAAGTTCGCGGAGACCCTGGCGAGGGCCCGATAAGGGTACGTATTTCGATGATCGATTTGTCGCAGTGTCGTACGTCCTTCGTCTCCGCCGACGTTGCTCTCAGTGCAGCCAAACGTCATTTCGCACGAATAAAATATCGAGAAGTTCGTGATCTGACTGCCGTTGAAGATTAATCGCAATCGTGGCTACTCCCGATAGATTTTCCAATTTCGATATGACGTTGAAAAAGTAGCGCGACCCTGTGTAAGAGCGATCAGCTAGACGGAAATACACGCTCGAACGGGAAGCACTAAGTATTCTAAATTGATCACTCATCGTAATCTCGATTGATTATCAGCCTGTCGTTTTGTATGACATATTGCTGCTACGCGATTACATCACAAATTTTTTATTCGATCTAAATTGATGATTAATTGCTGGCCATATACAGACGTCATCTACTTGGAACGGTAAATTTGATAAGTCTATATACTATTATACTGATGCCTGTAATTATTTCTACGTAAAGTGTAATTCTATAACGCAAACTTTTTTTATGGCATATTATTTATTTTTCTAATTTCTTAGCAACTTAGTAAACGTTTCTTTTTCTTTTGAACTTTCGAAAATCAATGTTTACGAATTTATTATTTCCAGTATAAAATTCGTGATAATTGAGAACTGATTATTCAAAGTTTTAAAACTGATTATACTTATACAATTAATACTGAAACGACAATGTTTCAGTGGTACGTGTTTTACTACGATATATAATTAAAAATTCATGTGTATACGGCGTTTGTATTTCTAGAGAATCATTTTTGCCAAGCCGATATAATTTTTCATACTAACGGCATCATCCTGCTGTGTTTAAAATATTCATGTTTGGTACGAACTCTTCTTGGAAAAAAGTGAGCCTACTGTGTAACATTGTCATGAATTCGGCTAAGAGATGGCTTTTTGAGGGTGGATCTTGTGAGAAGGACAGAAGAAAACGTGGCGGCGAAATGCACCTCATCAAATGGAATTCGTACACGAGAACGTTCGCTCAGTGCTCCGAAATGCACCTGAAAATTTGTTTTACCGTGCGATGAAAACAAAAGTGTACGTATCTCGCCAAATGGGAAAAACTTTGTGGTCCGACGACGAAAAGGATTACATGAAGAGCGAATTGCATCCACTATACACATGCACGTTGCATCCGCTATACACATGTCGAATATAAAAAAATGAGATATACAGATGAAAACTCGCTGGAAATTTTCGAATTCTATCTGGAATAATAAAAACTCAACTAACAAAATGGAAGAAATATTTATTCGTATGTTGATACTTATTCGTTTCAAATAATTTTTTAATTGAATTCCTATCTCTCCGAATAACTGTAAATAGATTTATTCATTAAAACTTTCTTCATTATTATTATTTCGATCGGGAATAAATCCCAGATGAAAGACTTGAGAATGAATGCCTGTCTCGTCGAAACTAAAAAGTTATTCAATCATTCGACGTTATTATTTTAGCTCAGTCACCGAAGTGGAGTGTGGAAGCATTAATTACTTATGTGTCAGTAGTTTACTTATGAAAACAGCTTCGAGTCAGCTGACGTGAAACAAGAAATTCCACTAGGAGTACGAAAGGTTAACGGAAATGATATTTCCATGCGCGTCAGCAGAGATATGAAGCTACCTCCTCCCATCAGTAGAAGAGCAAGATGTGGAGGAATCCGTGTCTGAGCGAACATGCCGGGGGATGAATCGAATCTCGCGCAGCTCTAAGAAAGGTAATCGTTGCCGAGGGTGGCGGCCGACCGCAGCCGGCCGCGGTGGAACTGGAAATTCCGAAACCAGAAATTCAGAGCTCGATAACACCAACGGGACCATAAATGCAGCGTTTCGCAACGACGTGCGCCGTGCAACGATATACACCGTTGTTTCCCACCGGAAGTTATAATTGTTTGCCGAGTTTCTCTGGTGCTCGATGCCCTGGGGAGAGTAACGTTGTATCTGACTCCACTCTTCCTGATGTTTTCAACGGAGATAGAGAAATAGAGATGAGGGAGAATAAGAGAGAAACAGCGATAGAGAGAGAAGAGTACTCTCGTTACTCACGCGCGGCTGTATGATTTTTGTTACGAGCATTATGACGCTTTCGTCCGTATCGTCCGTAAGCGCAATTTCATTGCTAAACTTTCGTTGCATGCACGAAATATAGATTAAAAGATTTGTAATTCGCTTCTCACCTATTCGAACATGAACATGTGTGTGCATCTGTCCAAAATGAAATTTTTGAGGGGAACACAAAATGTATAATCATGATTTAGTGTAGCACGAAGCACTCTGGACCAATCAGCACCCAGCATAAAGTCGCCATATTGATTTACATAATATCCTCATTGGCCCAGATGGTCTTGTGCTAGCTTATGCATTTTACGTGCTACAGCTCGG